GATCCCCAAATTGGCGAGTGAGAGAGAAAGCGAGTGGAAAGGAACCCAAACCGGGCAAGAAGGAAACCCTAAATCTCTCTCCCAATCCTCCTCCAATTCTCTACGCGCCTTAACCCCACTCGCCTTCGGTTTTCGCAGAATCATCACTCATGCTATTTCACCTCCACTTCAGGTTTCTGTATCCTTCTCAACTATTTCCTTTCCAATTTCTCTTTTTGAATATTGGCAGCTTCCCTGTTCTTTTTCTTTTCGAATTCGATCGCGTAAATATCCTTCTGTTTTAATAATAAAATTAGTATATGATTAAAACCTTCACAATGATCTTGTTGTATTGATTTTATTTTTACCTGATGAATTATCTTGGTTCATCTCCTTCTTTCATCAAATGTGATTCTGAATGAAATTGAAACCTGTAATTGTTTGCTCCCATGGATATTATTATGTTTGCTGATAAGAAAATCATTTTTGCAGTTATTATAACCATTTGCCTGCTGAATCTTATTAGCTAATTTATGGCTAAGACTCTTAAATTTCTTAAAATTGTAATCTCTTTGTTCTTTTAGAATGTTGGTATTAGGGAAAAGGTCATCATCACACTATCTACTTACAGCTAAGGAGCTTTGAAATGCTCATCATAAATTTTACTGCTGAAAAGTAAGTAGCCTTGGAATGTGCTTCCTTTATATATATATATATATATATATATATATATATATATAAATATGTATGTATATATATATATATATATTTATAGCACTGGGCAAGGCCTAAAGAGGACTTGTAAAACTTGAATTAGTTTGTCTCTTTTTATAATCAGATTTGCCTATTGTGGATTGTTCGTTGTCCTTTTTTTTTTCTTTTTTTTTTCTTACGTTGACATGATGACCTGTGTCCACCTTTTTTTTCAGGTTCAGCCAGGGAAACATTTGTTTGAAGTAAACAAGTTTCAGTCATGGACATAGATCTTAGGTTACCTTCTGGTGAACAGTGTAAGGAAGATGAAGGAAATGGAATTGGTAATATATTAGATGTTGATGAAAAACTGCATAATGGAATTGTTCAGGCTGGCAATATTGCTGATGTAGGAGAGGATGTACGTGCTGAAGATGGTGGGGAAATGCATTCTTCTGCTGTGGATATGGTGACCTTCAAGGAGGATACAAATCTTGAGCCACTTTCTGGTATGGAGTTTGAATCACATGGGGAAGCATATTCTTTTTATCAAGAATATGCTCGGTCTATGGGATTCAACACGGCTATACAAAATAGCCGCCGTTCAAAAACATCAAGAGAATTTATTGATGCAAAGTTTGCCTGTTCTAGATATGGGACAAAACGGGAGTATGACAAATCCTTTAATCGTCCACGTGCCAGACAAAGCAAGCAAGACCCAGAAAATGCAACTGGTCGACGGTCATGTTCGAAGACAGATTGTAAAGCAAGCATGCATGTGAAGAGAAGGTCTGATGGAAAATGGGTTGTACATAGTTTTGTGAAAGAACATAACCATGAACTTTTACCAGCCCAAGCTGTCAGTGAACAGACCAGAAGGATGTATGCTGCAATGGCTAGACAATTTGCAGAATATAAAAATGTTGTTGGTCTGAAGAATGATCCCAAAAATCCATTTGATAAAGGTCGAAATTTGGCATTAGAAGCAGGAGATGTTAAGATTTTGCTTGAATTTCTTACACACATGCAGAACATAAATTCAAACTTCTTTTATGCAATAGACTTGGGTGAAGATCAACGTCTGAAAAGTTTGTTTTGGGTTGATGCAAAGAGTAGGCATGATTATAGTTATTTCAATGATGTTGTGTCTTTTGATACCACTTATGTTAGAAACAAATATAAAATGCCTCTTGCACTATTTATTGGAGTGAACCACCATTATCAGTTCATGCCACTTGGATGTGCATTGGTATCAGATGAGAGTGCAGCAACATTTTCTTGGCTAATGCAGACGTGGCTCAAAGCAATGGATGGACAATCTCCTAGAGTCATAATCACTGACCAAGACAGAACTATAAAATCAGTTGTTGCAGAAATCTTTCCAAATACTCATCATTGCTTCTTTCTGTGGCATATACTGGGAAAGGTTTCCGAGAATCTTGGTCATGTAATCAAACAGCATGAAAACTTTATGTCAAAATTTGAAGAAAATGCAATCTACAGGGTCAGGACCAGAAGAAGATTGCGGTGGTGTTTTGTGTTTGACTCAAGGATGATGAATGGATGAAATCGTTGTATGAAGACTGCAAAAAGTGGGTGCCAACCTATATAATGGATGTTTTGTTGGCTGGGATGTCTACTGTTCAGAGATCGGAGAGTGTGAATTCCTTCTATGACAAGTACGTACACAAGAAGACAACAGTGCTAGAGTTTTTGAAACAGTATGAAGCAATTTTACAAGATAGGTATGAAGAGGAAGCCAAAGCAAATTCTGATTCATGGAGCAAAGTGCCTACACTAAAATCTCCATCACCTTTTGAGAAGAGTGTTGCAGGGGTGTATACACACACAGTATTCAAGAAGTTTCAAGTTGAGGTTGTGGGTGCGATTGCTTGTCATCCCAAGCCAGAAAATCATGATTCGACATGCAGCATTTTTAGAGTTCAAGATCTTGAAAAGAATCAGGATTTTATTGTTACTTTGAATGAGATGAAGGCTGAAGTTTCTTGTATATGCCGCTTATATGAATACAAAGGGTATCTCTGCAGGCATGCTATGGTAGTTCTCCAAATAAATGGCCACTCAAGCATCCCTTCTCAATACATTTTGAAGCGATGGACGAAAGAGGCAAAGAGCAGGCATTTCATTGGAGAAGAATCTGAACAGGTGCAATCTAGGGTGCAGAGGTACAATGATCTATTTCAACGGGCAATGAAGTTGATTGAAGAGGGTTCATTGTCTCAAGAGAGCTACTATATTGCATTCCGAAGCCTTGAAGAAGCTTTTGGGAGCTGTTTGAGTGCAAACACTTCTAACAAGAGCCTTGCAGAAGCTGTGACATCTCCCACCCAGGGTATGATCTGCATTGAAGAAGACAATCAAAGCAGAAGCACAACCAAGACACATAAGAAAAAGAACCCAAACAAAAAAAGAAAGGTTAGTTATAAATAGTGATTGGCATGTGGATGTGTTTTTGGCAGATGCTATTTCCGGTCCTTAGATATTTTTTTTTTTTCAGGGAAACTCAGAGCAGGAGTTAATGACTGTTGCAGCAACAGATGGCTTGCAACAAATGGTTAGTCCTGTTCTATAATTTACCAACCTTGTGAAAGATGTTTTAATGAATTATGACATCTACATTAAGTAATAGTATGGCAATAAGATTATTGTAGCTTTTGCAATCAAGAAAATTTTCTCACGAGTTCATATAAAATCGGCCAGAATATGATCACTGGAATTTTGTTTTGTAGGATAAATTAAGCTCAAGGTCAGTAGCACTAGATGGTTATTTTGGCACACAACCAAGCGTCCAAGGAATGGTAAGATTGTTAATTGACTTCATTTATCTTTTATGTCAGTTATATTCAATTCCATGCCTTATGCTTTTTGCAGGTTCAGCTTAACTTAATGGCACCACGTGATAATTATTATGGGAATCAACAGACAATTCAGGGGCTGGTTTGTCTCTTATTTTGTAACCATAATGAGTGAATTGGATAGCTCTATTTATCCAGTAAAGTGCTGCATTAAGGGAACTAATTTTTTGCAATGTGGGGTTTTGCATTCATAGGGACAGTTGAACACTATAGCAACGAGCCATGATGGTTACTTTGGCACCCAGCAAACCATGTCTGGGATGGTATAAAATCACTTGATGCTATTAGTAATTCTTTGTATTACTGAGTTCAAATGGTGACATTGTTTTCATTCTGTTTTATTCATACAGGGACAGATGGATTTCTTTCGAGCTCCTAGTTTTTACATTCGGGTGAGTCTTCCTGCTACATAACCTGGTGAAGTGACTCAGTTTTGTTTTCAGGGCCTTCATACATCTTTTTTGTCTTCACCCGACAGGATGACCCCAATGTGAGAGCGGCACAGTTACATGATGATTCATCAAGACACACGTGATGGTTCATTTCTTACGTTGAAGGTAGAAGCCTTGGTATTCTTTCTTTTTTTTTTTTTTTTCTTCTTTCCATGTTTGATGATTAATGAGTTAAAGAATAATGTCTTACTTTGTAGGTGAGGATGAAAGAAGATAATTGACAATGCTGAGACTTTTGAAACTGACTTGGATGTAAAGAAAGAAAAGTATGACATGCATTGTCAGATGATTATTAGAAATAATCTTCTCTTCTTTGGTGTCTGTTAGATAAGATAGAATAGGGTGTTGTGGTTAATAGGGGATGTAATTGAGAGTTGGAACAACTCGTGTTGGGGCTTATGTCTGATGTAAAGTCAGTTGTATTATTGTATCTGTGATTGTTAATGCCTAAATAGGGTAAATTGAATTTCAGTTATCTGTATTTGTTACTACACATTGTTTTTATAATATATTATATTATATTATATTACATTATATATATATATTCGGAAGTGACATTTAAACCCTTTTCTTTCGGTACGTTTTATCCGGAGATGTACTTTCATTTCTTGCTCTGTCAGAGGATGAGATGTTAAACTTTTTCTTGGCAGATACTTGAAAGCAACAATTAGGCTTGGTGGAATTGTTGAAATTTGCTTCATATATTTCTGTGAATTTCACATGAAAGGGTTTTTTTTAGGTTAATAGTACATGTGATTTTTAAATTTTGGATCAAATATTATTTTAATTCTTAATCTTTAAAAAGGTTTAATTAGACTTTTAATTATTCAAAATTGTATTATTTTGATTCTTTTATTTATAAAATTATCTAAATTATCGATAAGTGTCGGTTGGTAAACAGAAGAATCAAAATAAAATTTTGATCAAAATTTAAAAATTAAATATTGTTTTAAAAAATTAAATAAAAAATTTCATATCATTTTTAAAATGTACGCCTACATATAAAAAATGTCCTTTTTAAGTTTGGTTATCATATACACTCATGGGAATGTCATTAAAAACAAATCGGATGATAAATTTAAAATCTAAAAAGAAAAAAGTTAGAGCTTTCCGAGAAGCTTTTTCATTTTTATTTATGATTTCATTATTGTTGAAATAAATGGAAGCTCTGGAGAAGCTTCTCTCCCGATTCCCCCTTTTTTGTTGCCGGCTTTCAATTTGTGCTTTAATTTATGATGTTGTGTAAAAAAAACCCATTTTTCAAGAAAAGCCATGCATTTGATTTCCGAAAGTGTTACTTTTGTTGGGGTTTCAGGAATTTCACAGATTATGCATGAGGTCTAGAAATCTATAGGATGGTTTCATGATGAATCAAATTTGGGAGCCCGGTGAAGATTGCAGCAAGCTAGCTTCAAAGGAGATTGCTTTTTAAGGTTTTGTGATGGGAGTTTCCTTTGATTCTTTTTTCTTTTCCACAGTTATTATAATCTTAAATTTTTACTTTTTTTTTTTATTTTTTGTATTCTTTTTGGGCTTTCCTGAGTTTGATTTGATAGTTGAATTGTTTGGAGTTTTGATGATCAAAAGCCTCAGCTAATTATTTTAAGATCGTCTTCTTTGAGTAAATTTTGTAAATTTTCATGCTATGATTTTGATTTTTTTTTTTTATCTTTGATTCAAACAAGAAACTTAGCATTTCCTCTCTGAACCAGGTAAGTATTTAAGTTTTTTTTTTTTTTTTTTCACATTTGATTTTTTTTCTTTCTTGTTGAGAAATTTTTGTTGAATTTTGTTTAGTATTGCTAGTCTTGTTAAGTAGTTTAAATGTTATGAGCAGAGAAGAATTTATTTTTTGAATTTGTTTCGAGTGCTCTTTTACCTATAACTCCAGCTTGGATTTCATTGATCCCAGCAGTACTCATGCATATATAGACTGTGTACTTGTCAATACATAATTATATATAAGCCTTTAAGATGTTTTGATGTTCTAAGATGTCAATTGAAGTTGTACTAATCATTACAGTAATGAAATATTTATATCATCTGTTCTTCTTGTAGGGTCAGTACATCTCATTCACCCACCAAATTCAGTAGTTTGCTAATACTTACCAGTAGTTTATTTTAAGCCTGGGTGAGGATGTAACAATTGATTTCATCTCGAGTTCAGTGCTTTACATTTCTATTGGGACAAATGACTCTATACGTTACTACTTGTGTAATGTATCTAATGTGCAAAATCTATATCTACCTTGGGGTTTCAACCAGTTCTTAGCGTCTACAATGAGGCAAGAAATTAAGGTGACCATAACAGTCGTCTCTTTGTTTTGGTTTACTTCTCCATATGCTGCCATTATATCTAATGCTGAGTATCATTTACTATCTAGCCAAACTAATTAAGCTTCTTTCTTCAAATTGATTGACTTTTTGCATGAGTTTGTTGGTGTAGGATTGTAGAAAATTTTGCCATGTGCCTTAGCCCTCCATCAGTTCTGAAAGGAATGTAACAGCATTACAATACATATATAACAAATTTATATAGCAATAAATAATAGATTTTTATGGACAGTGTTCAGCTGGCGGGAAGGAATCAACTTTCTCATTTTTAGGAATTATGTTTTCTTTTCTTTTTCGTTTCCATTATCTTTTCAGTAAAATCTCAAAATAGAGTGTAAAACTCAAAGTTTTTTTAAGCTAAAAATGATGTCGAACCCATAGGGAAACTATTAGCAAGAAGCAAACCACGCATCATTTTCTTTCAATGGAGCACACTTGAACAACGGGAATTTTCTTGGATTGGACTTTAGAAGAACAAATACTTGAAGACAGGTTAAAAAAGTGAGTAATGAAATTTTGATATGGATTTTTATTCTTTGATTTTGAATTCAACTTTTATTTATTTTTTCTGAATTTAAAGAATGATACAAATTCAATTTTTAATTGTTTATTTTTTGTGAATTTAAAGATTAATACTGGAGCTGAGGTTTGAAACTTCTTTATTTTTATGCTAAGTAATGTCATTAGGTTTCAATTTTATGTGTTATTTATCTGTATTGTTAACTGGTAACATGAAAATGGAAGTATTTCTTTGTTTATTTTCTCACAGATTGTTTGGCTCCTAGCGAACTATCCATACTTTGGCATTACGTTGATGACTACTGATAGAAAAGCTGGCCAATCTATGGGCTCAGTGTTTCCTCATTTGATAACACAAGTAAGCAAGTACTTTTTCCATGTTTCAAAAATAAACTTTGATTTTGGGATGTGAATGAATTTGGTTGCATAATTTGGTCAAGTATGTAATTGTTGTGTTTCTTTCAGATAATGATTGAGTCCATTTTTTTTTTTTTTTTTGCAGGATCTGCCAACTATGGTTTCGATTAAGGGTGCAGAATTTTCCAATATGGATGCTGTGTTTTGTTGTTTGCCTCATGGAACTGCACAGTGCCCTGAACTTTCCTTGCAAGACAGTTTATCTTCTTTACTTTAAAATAGAGTCATCTTATCAATTATCATGATAAAATTTGTTTATTTCATTACCTTTTAGGACATCATCAAAGGCCTCCCCCACCATTTGAACATTGTTGATCTTTCTGCGGTATGCTTTTAATTCACTTATTTTTCTATTCTTTTAAAGATCTGTTTATATGCCTGGTGTAAAGTTCTCTGTTTCTGTAATATATTATAAAATAACTTTCAAGACTTTCTGCTGAGGAATATTGCTGAATATGAGGAATGGTACGGTCAACCACATATCTAGTGCTCCAAACTTGCAGGTCTTTATTATTATTATTGTTATTATTATTATTATTAAGAAAAACATTTGCTTCAAATCAAGCCATTTTATAGTTTAAAGTTTGGGGCTTTATTCTTCTATGTTAGTACTTCAAAAATGAAAGGTAGTTGAAATATATAATATATTGTAAATAAAATTTTACAACTTTCAAACATTCAACTTCCAAATCACCTATATCAATAGTTTAGTCATTTTATCTAAACAAACAATTTTAAGCATATGCAAGTGTAGCTACATAAAACTACTTAAATATGGTATAAATAAAATTTGAAAATTAACCTAATTGTTGGCCTTGAATTGATCTTTATTTTGAAATGATAAAACATTAAAGTTAAATAAACTTAATCAAGATTTTGAAAAAGATTTATTTAGTATATGTTCTTAAGTTTTATATTTTGATATTAAATAAATAATATAATTTTCAAAGCTTAAACAAATCTTTTCTTGTTTTCATATTTCTTAAACCAAATTTACTTTTAAAGATTATTTATTTGAGCTTAAATGAAAAGTTCAATTGTTGTTTTTAAAGTGACCTTATTCATTTTGGATTTAATACAATTTTAACAATATTGGTTTTGATAAATAAATTAACTTAAGAAAGTTATTTTATAAGAACATAGTTTTTCAACATTGAATTTGTTTTTTTTTTTTGTATTAATTCACAAAGTTTTAATATTTGAATTTTATATGATTGGAAAGCTTTTTGAGTCTATTTTCTAATGGTTCAAACAAAATCAAAATCTAAATTTTTTAAGGAAAGATTTTGAATTTTTACTAGATATTCTATAGTTATCAGAAAAATTGCATAAGAGGTAACTTTGAAAATTCACTATAATTTGTATATATTAAATTAGGTGATGAACTTTATATATGGATAAAAAGTCCTTTAAGTCTAGTTTTTAAATCTTCAAACGGTTTGTAATTTGGATTTGTATAACTCAAGTTATGATCAAATTAGTGAGTAGAGTGTATAACGAAAAATCATCACCAGCTTGGACAAGATCGATCCCCTGTAGAAGGGATCGATTGCTTCCTCAAACAGAATGCCCCTTAAGCTAAAAATCCAGAAAAGGGATCGATCCCCCCACATAGCGGATCGATCACCCGGGCAAGGGATTGATCCCCTCAAGCAAAGGATCGAATGGGTAAGGCTTTTTGTGCATAATTTTTGGGTGTCTCAAAGCTGAACCAATCGATCCCCTCAAGCAAGGGATCGATCTGTTCTGGGCGTGGGAATTCCAACGGCTACTTTTTGGTGCTTTCAACGGGCATTTCTTCACTCCAAGCTTCCCCAATGGCTAGTTCATCAATTTCTCTATAAAGGAGGCACTCCAACACCAAGAACATAGAGGAATCAAGAGAGTAAGAGTTAAGAAGCAATATTTTCACTCTTTCAAATAATCAAGAGTTTTTAGAGTTTCAAAGTCTATATCTTTGTATTTATTGTATCCAAACTATTTTTGTTGTTCATTCATCATTCTCTTGTCTATACCTTTATGTACTTCAACTTAGCAAATACCCAACCTAGAGTTTGCAAAACACTTCTTTTTTCTATTTTGTGAGTTTGTAAGCTTAAGAGGGAAGATAACCTTTAAGAGTATATTATGTTGAGTTTGTAAAGCTTAGAGAAGCTTGGTTGTAATCTTCAACATTTATAGTGGATTGAACTCCTTGGCAAGAGAGGCTAAGGGAGAGGACGTAGGTGTCTAAGGAAGGATCGAACCTTTATAAATTGCGGTGTTATTTTCTCTATCTCTATCTCTTATTTACTTTCAATTATTGTGTTTAATTGTTTAACAAAATTTGTGCTTATTGAATATTGTTTTTGAAAACTTCATTAAAACCAATTCACCCCTTTCTTGGTTTATTCCAAATCTTTGAGCTAACAATTGGTATCAGAGCTTTGGTTTCTTTTGTAGGTTTAACTACCTTCAGAAAAGATCCTATGGCTCAATTTTGATTCCAAGATGGTGAAGAAGTCCTCAAAGTTCCTATGGTGGATAAATTTGAATTTTGTGAATGAAGAAAGAGGATGAAGGTGTTCATTATGACCCAAGATTTTAGAGCTTGAAATGTGATTGAAAAAGGGCTTGGAATTCCTTCAAATGATGCAAATTACATGAGGCAAATAATAAATGATGCAAAGGTCAAGTGCATTCTCTATGGAGCTTTAGATGATTATAACTTTAACTTGGTCTTAAAATGCTCAACTTTAAATGAGATATGGAGAAAGTTGGATGAGCTACAAGAAAGATAAATTTTCAACCAACATCTATCATGTCTCATGGCCATTGAGGAATCAAAGGTAACTTTTAACTCTTGTGATTCAAATTCTTATACTTTTGATGAGTTACAAGATGCTTACAATGATTTAGTAATTGAGTTTGAAAATATGCATTTGAAACATAAGAAAATGATTTCAAAATTAAAAGTTGAAAATGATTTTTTGATGAATGCAAAAAATATTTTAGAAAAAGAAAATGAAAAGTTGAAAATAGATTTAAAAACCTCTCAAAGTAAAAGTGAATTTTTAGAAAAAGAAAGTTTTGATTTGAAAAAGAAATTTGATGAATTGATGAATGAAAAACAAAAGCTTTTAAAGAGTTCATTAAGTATTAAAATGATTAAATATAATTTTTATAATTTTCATGGTCATACATACATACTTGTCCTATTAGAAGAAAAGTCTCATTTAGAATTAGGTAAGTATGGGTTCCAAAAGGAACAAGAGACTTGGTGACTAACTCTCAAGGACCCAAAGCAATTTGAGTACTAAAAATCAAATGAGATTGTCTCTTGTAGGTGTGCTAGAGTAAAGAGCTACAATATGAGATTGAAGATTGAATACTTTAGACACACAATGAAGATGAGTAACCTTTAAACTTTTATTTGAAGAATATTTGAATTTGGTTACCTATTCTTGATGAAGTTTGGATGCTTGATTGATTATGCAAAATTGGGTTGCCTATTCTGTTAGACTAGAGTGCTTAATGGATATTGGTATATGCTTTATTGATATATCTTGAATACACCAATTTCACTTGAGAAAATGTGAGCTTGAATTGAACATGCATTTATTTTGCATAAATATATTTGTTAGGAATGATTTTAGCATGAATGACCATGATGTTTAAAAATTGCTCAATTTGTTTATAGTGCTTGGATCTTGTGTAATATTTTTTAAAACTTGATTGTTATGTTTTAAATTTTTATAACTCTTGATTGATGAATTGATGAACTTTATGTGCTTAAATAAGATAAATTGATTCTTTGTTCATCTATGTTTTTGGTCAAGGTATGTGCTCATATGATGATTGGTTCAACTTGACTTTAATGCTTATGATTTGAAAATACTTAAATATTTTATCTCTTAATTTTTAAAATATTTTCAAATATACTTGCTCTTGTGCTAAATTGATTCATTAATTTTGTGAAATGTTTTAGAACTTGTGCTTAATTGACTTATCTTTTGGTTTGGGATTAAGTATTGATGAACTAATTGTGTTTAATGATATATGTTGTTAGTTCATCTTTTGTTCTTGTCAAGTGTGTGTATATATGATAAATGTGATTTTTTTTTACTCGACATGGTTGCAACATGACTTAAGTAAATGAATTTCTTATGATGCTAATTTTTAGCTTAAGTCATTGTTGATTATGGCCTATAATTTGTGTAGACATATTTGTGCTTTTGTGCTAATATTTTCTTGAATATGTTTTGGATGATAAATATGTTTTCCTTGAGTTTTTAGTTTTTATATGACCTAAAATTTGTTTGGCATATTCTTTGGTGATTTTTTTAAAAATATATATGAATATTGAATGTCTTCTTTATATTCAATATTTCTAAATGATCTAGAAAGGACTCATGTTTTGCACATTTGATGAGAACTTTAACTTTAGTGCCAATAATGTGATATTTGATGCTTAACTTGATATATGGTCTCTAGCTTAAGTATATATATCTCCTTTGCAATTGGTAACTTGTTCTTAGTGAATAAATTTTCCTTTGCCTATAATGACTTAAAATATGAAATTGTTTTCTAACAATTGGTATATTTTTATCAATTGATTTTCTTGGTGCTTCTAATGAAAATATTTTGTCAAGAAAATTGTCTAAGTCTATGCTAGGAGAACTTGAAATGAGCATGAATGAGCCTACATTTTTAGAATTTCAAGTATAGCAAGCAAAGCATATCATCCTCATCAATCAAGCCTAGTTTTGCTCAAATGAAGTGGATTGGAGAATTCAAAGCCAAATGAGCACAACAACAAAGCTTGACATAGATGGAGGTAAATGTATCAACTTTATGATATGATGTATGAGTTTGAATACATATACATGCTTGCTTTAATATGTGCAAATATATGATTTTGTGATTGAAGATATGAACGCATTGCATAAATTAATCACCAAGCTACTTGATAAAATTTATCTTAATATTTTTTTAAAGCTTGGATTGATTAGTTCACCTTCATTAATATTCATGCCTAGTTCTTAAATATTTTGATTACTAGTTTTTAATGCATGAATATTTCTTTGAATCTTTGAACATGAATATGAGTTGAATATATTGATTTCTTGATCTTTCAATTGCCTTGACTCATAGATTATGAATTATAAACTTGAAATTCACATACATGTTCATTGATTGACATTGAGATGGCATGTACCAAATTGTGCCTAAATGCTTGCATTTTTTTTGGTATATTGCTTATATATTTTGCATAAGCTTGTATGATTTTGATTGAAATATATGATTGAATACTTGCATATGTTTGAGTTAAGTACATTGCTATGCATTGAAATAATTTGGATCATATTTGAATAATTATACTTTTATTATTTCTTTGCTATAGCTTATGTTTTCATCATGTTTGGAAAATGCTTGAATAATCCTTATCATGACATGATGATAAGTGAACCTTATTGCTCATTAGTATTCATGCTTTATTATAGGCATATGAGATTTTGGGTTCTTGTTTGGATAGGATAGCTTATGAAAGATTACTATTTATGCATATATTGAATGAATCTTTCATATGCTTAAAGTATGTGTGCTTTATGATAGTTGTTGAATAAAATTGCTAACAATTGGTATCAAAATTACTAAAGATTTTTTTTAACTTTCATAGACACTTGTTTATGTACTTATCCTTGATAT